CACACACAACTGAAATAAAAGACCTATAGAAACTAAGGTGGGGAGACTAAGACGTGAAGAAAACCAGGAACCATTTTTTTCTTTTAATTGTCTGGCCAACAATTTCCCCATTTTCTCCCCTCCTTCATAATAACTTGTTTTTAGCCTATACAAAGCATATTCTGCTTTCTTGTTATAGATGCTGTGTAGGGAGTATTTAAGTTTACATAATTCCTGAAGTTTACTATCAGAAATGCTTTTTGACAGTTCTAGTTCTTTTCTTTTTATTTCCTCCTCTAATTCCTTATTCTTGTTAATACTCTCTTTGTTCTTTCTAGCTGCATGTGCTATAAATTTTCCTCTGATGTATGCCTTTGAGGCCTCCCATACTGTGGACATACTTATTTCTGCAGTACTACCTATATTGATTTCAAAAAATACTTTCAAGTCCTCCTCCACTGCCTTTCTAAAAGATAAATCTGACAGTAATCCAATGTTTAGTCTCCATCTTCCCCTTCGTTCAACCTTCTGGCTCGCCAAAAATAGTAGTTCCACAGGTGCATGATCTGTAATAGATATTGGTTGTGTGTTGCAATTTGCTATTTTGTCTACCAGGGAATTGCTAAGTAAGAAAAAAACCTATCCTTGAAAATGTTTTATGACAATGTGAAAAGAAGGTGAAATCCTTTGTATTTGGGTTAATCAGTCTCCATATTTCTATTAGTCCCATATCTCTACTCAGCATTTGCAAAGCTCGTCTTACCTTATTCGTGAGGGGAGGCCTGAAGATTGGATCTCCCTTGTTGGGTGCATGTATGTTGCACAGTACTAGCCGGACTCCTTCTATTACTGCTTCCACACATATAATTCGGCCCTCTGTATCTTTACTTTGCTTTCGTAAAATGAAGCTCACATTTTTGTGGACCAGGATCATAACCCCATTACATTTACTCGAAAATGAGCTGTGAAATAGATGTCCCACCCATCCCACCTTGAATTTCCCTACTTCAAGCTCCCGCATGTGAGTCTCCTGTATAAAAACAATATCTGCGTGGTTATTCTTCAAGAATGTTACAACTTTTTTCCTCTTAATTGGGCTACTGCATCCATTTATGTTCCAAGAAATCAACTTCAATTGTCTGTCAGACATGTAAACTTTTAAATGCTACTGCTGTCTTCAGCTCCTTGCAGAAAATAATCCCGTTTCCAACATCTACATTAACAAACTTATACCAGCCTTCTTCTGAACCCACAGAACATAGAACAACCCAGACCGGGCGCATAAAAAAACAAAGAAAAAAAAGAAGACAAAACTAAAAATGTCCGGCTGTTCCTAGACAACCACTGTCCATGTGGTAAACACTCTTCGGTGTTGAAAAACCATGTGAAAAAAAAAGAATATAAACCTTGTCATGATCCGCGGGATTAACACCGTTCCCATGGTAACCGTCCAATGTGCCGAGAAGCTCTTCGTCATCCTGCACAGCTCTATCAGTTCAACCAGAACGCCTAGTTTTTGAAGTAAACAGCTCACCTTCCTCTGAAGTTCACATCACCTCCTTCACCGCTCCTTTATTATCTTCTCCGCTGACTCCACAGTGTTGCAGCTCACGTTTTTTCCCTTCCATCTGAAGTGCAGCGTCGCCGTGAAAGCCAGAGTGTATCTAATATCCAGGTCTTGCAACTTACGCTTTACCGAGGTGAAGGCCTTCCATCTCTCCGCCAGCTCCTTCGACATGCCCGGGAACACAGAGAGGCGGCATCCCTCCCAAACAATCCCTCGCTTCTCCTTAGCAGCGCTGATCACCTTGTCCCGCGCCGACTGCCTCAAGAAGCGGATCAGTACCGGCCTCGGGGGTTGCCCTTCATTCGGCATTGGCGCCATCTGTCTGTGCACCCGCTCCATCTCAAAGTCCTCACTCATCTGCATGCCGAGGCCCTCAGCCAGGATCGTCCGCACGCATTCAGGCAGCGTTCCGTTGGTTCCGAAGGTCTCTCTTAGTCTCACCAGTCTCACATTATTTCGCCTGCTGTGGTTCTCGAGGGTTTGTATCCGGTTCCACATCTTCTCCATTTGTTTGTTCCCTCTTTCCTTATCTTTCTGAAGCCGTTCTGACGTCTCCTCCAGCTGCGTAATTCGCGTTTCGACCTCACCGAGCCTCTCCTACATTGCTGTCACCGTCGTAGTCAGCTCGGCAGTAGCCTGTTTAATAGACACGACATCTGTTGCGACATTCTGGAGCATTTCACTCATTTTCTATATTTCTGCAAAAAGTCTTTCCAGGCTGACTGTCGCAGTCATGGGTGCTGGGTTTTCTCCCGTATCGCTGTCGTCTTCGTGGACCTGGCCTTTCCGGGTTCACGCTCGTGACGAGCTTTTAAAATATTTCGACAACGTCGACATAGCTTTGTAATATTTTCAGACTAAATATCAAACGTACGCAGACTCAGTACTCCCAAGGAACAATATTCCACCAGCATAGTTGCTATTTCAGCTAAAATCCTGTTAGTAGCATGTGTGGGGAAGAGAGCTCCCTAGCTTGCGGCCATCTTGGAAGCTGCACCCGCGTGACTCCGTTTATGATCTTACATTAATTAATTGGGGCACCACCCAGTTTTGTCTGTGTGAACTGGGACACTGGATTTAATATTTATATTTTCTCAATGTAATTAGTCTCAAAGTTAACACCACATTTTAATCTGAAAGCTGAAGTCTTGTCAGAATGTGCCGGCTATTCTCGAGATCGCTAGGCAACGATCAGGCATGATTTAAGTTTTGTGAATTTATTACAAACACCAGTTGTGACACTTGACAAAGAGAACCAAACACAGCTTATTGTTTCATGCATGAGAATAAGTAAGTGGATAAACACAAGGCTTTATGGCAGTGCTATGACTTAACTAGTCTGTAATAAAAGTGGAAATTTGGTGACACCAGGATTATAGTAAATATTAGGAATAACTTCTGTAAGGAGAACAAGTGAGTGTGTGTGTGTGTGTGTGTGTGTGTGTGTGTGTGTGTGTGTGTGTGTGTGTGTGTGTGTGTGTGTGTGTGTGTGTGTGTGTGTGTGTGCATTCCTATGGGTATAGGAATACAGGAGGGTGTGTGAGTGTGGTCAGGAGCTTGTTATGGCAGAAGAAGAAAGGGGATCTTGAAGGCTAACGTGAATCTGGGATCGAAATAAAAACACGCCATAAAGAAATTGACTAATCTGAATTCACTAATCGAGTTTAGCACAAAAGTCAGCCAGATGAGATGTTTCACAGACCTAAATTTCCGTTGCCGAGAGGGTGGCCAGCGGCTCCAACCGCCTTGGGTTCCTGGCTCATGACCTTTTTGGATTAAATGTTACTGGCTCCCTGTTCGGTCAACGTCGGTCTTGAAAGGAGAGGATGTGGTAATCCTCGATCGTGGCTTGACCTTTCGGTCCCTTCACCTCTGCGGCCTTGAAACATGGAATTCAGATCGTGGGCCCAAATTATTCCAAAACGGAGCCGAATCATCAAACTGTGTTCCAAATTGCTTTTACTTTTAATGTCTCGACAAACTTTTAATGGACTTCCGGTTTCACGTAGGAGGTCAAAACAAAACAAACGGAGTTGCTTCTAAGTTTTTACTGTAACTTTTGAGATCGACGCTTTGCTAGGCCATGATGGAAAAGCCAAGCAGAGGTTTGCTGAAGGCGTCTGTGGTTCTTAAACTGCTGCCACGAGGTTCGGATGGGTGCTTATATAACCTTTTGGGCACGCCCGCCTGTATCTCACTCAAAAACCACTGGAGGGCACTGTGGCTCTTCCAACTAGACTCTACCTTCTCCAAGATGGAAAGCCCATGCTCACACTTTAACACAGTTATTCATATAAAGCCTCAAAAAGTATTACTTTAGCATCAAAGTATTACTTTAAATGGGAAAGAATAAAATTAAAGTCTTAAACTGGACAGTTTTACCATTAACATGAATGGCAAAAAAAGTCACTACATACAACCCCACAGCTGATTGGTCAGGAGCTTCCCACTGGTGTTCAGAGGGTAATGGAGAGCTCACATGCAGGGGGTTATATTTTTGTCATGGCTCTTATCGAACTCCCTCAAAGGTGGACATTAGTGTTTTTTTAGGGAACCGGAGCTCTCTGTTAGACTGCTGGTTCTAATCCTCCACGTATTCCATCAACGTGATCATTTGGAAGTACAGACGCTGCGGACAAAAGAAGCCGGGGGGCCAGCGGGCATCCAGAGAGGGACCAGGAGCCGTATTTTTAGGAAGGGCCTCAGCAGCTGCCACTTGACGTGTGTCACCACCTGGCTCTGGGGACACGTCCGTATTGTTTAAATTAGAAAGAGTGGATGGAGAGAATGGCCAGAGACCTGTGTGTGTGTGTGTGTGTGTGTGTGTGTGTGTGTGTGTGTGTGTGTGTTTGTGTGTGTGTGTGTGTCCTTATTAACAGCGGGGTCACACACATGCCAGGTGACCATACAGGGCCGAGCACACGCCCCACACACGCCGCTGACATTGCCCCTGCGTGCCGCTCATGCCCAGGTCAGGAGGTGTAGAGTGTCCCAGGCTGGAGGCTCGTGGCCGAGCGTGTTCTTATTAAACCTGCTGCTGCAGGATGACTTCCCGGGAGCGATAGCTCACGGACCTTCAGATGCGTGGGAACGTCAGATCATCTTTCAGTGGCACAAGAAATTTTTCGTCAAAAAACTTTTGTTCAGGTTCTCTGTCATTTTCAGCCCAGAGCTGCTGCCTGCAGCCATGGCCGTAAATTTGCGGGGGGGGGGGGAGGGGGGGGAGCAGTTTTAGTCCGTGGGTGACTTTTATTTGTTTTTATGTAAGTACCTAAAACAAAATGACTTTTATTTACCTTAATCAGGACCAGGGTTAGGGTTGTGGGTCAGAAATCCTCTGAGTCTGACTTAAGTTGTTTTTCTTCTTATTTAGATCAAGTTAGATTTAGTCCATCACATAACTTTACTCAATTAGCAATAAAATAAAAATAAACCAAACTGAATTTAAAACCAC